GTGGTGTGGGTTGGGGGGGGGGGGGGGGGGGGGAGAAGAACACTTCAAAAAGTATTCAGGGTTTTTTTTCCTCCAACAATATTGATAACCTCACTTACTCCTTTCACCTCACACCCCCCCAACCTCCAATATTCCACTTTTGGGAAAGGGGGATGGGGGAGGGGATTACCCACCACCTTCTTCACCACCACGGGGGGTGGGGAAGTGTGCATTTCCTTTAAAGCATAATTTATTAACTAATAAAAAAAATGCTTCCCCCACCCCTGCAAACAGAAAGTCATCATCTGTTTTAAGATTTTTCTAAACTAGAAAAGTTGCAGAACTTCATCTCTACCAATTTAGTTAAAGTGCTACAACTGCTGACAGTTCCATTTGTATAAAAACCATCTTTAAAAAAAAAAAAAAAAAAAAAAAAAAAATCACACCTGCATGCACAGTTGGGCTTGGACAAGTATTCTGTAATAGTCACACCCCAACTTACACAGTTATGCTGGTACTATTTCAAGCGCAGACTGGGCCAAATCAATAGAACTTGTGCCCAGCTACTTCACAAGCTGAAAGATCTTTCTGTGGTCAGTTTTGAAACCTCCTGCTAGAAGTTACTGGCAGAGCTGCTTATGATCTGGGTGTGCAGTGCCACATCTTAGCCACTGAAGAGTTCTCTCCCAGAGGAATGATAAGACTTGTGTATAGTACTACACTTACCTGCTTTGTCTTACATAGTTCTTTAACCAGTTTCAAGCAAAACAATAAAACTTCCAAGTTGTAAACACATCATGGATTAGTGTACATTTCAATAGTTTTCCTAGATTTAGTGCATTGAAATTGAACAAAAATAAGTAACTGAAACTGCAGCAAAGAGCACTTCAATTAAAGCAGTTTTGATGGTTCAGTATACATTTACCTGCAAATGCTGAAGATCATCTTCTTGAATGTTCTGGGACAAGTTGTATACCTGTAGGAGATATTGTAGTTCCAAAATTTTTTTTAGAACATGACATTTATACTACGGATTTAGCTTCTATTAGAGAACTCGAACATTGCAACACCAGTGGCAGAGTCTAGCTATGTAATCTCTTTAGGTCAGGGGAACATTCAGTATCTTTTCACCTGTGCCATTTGCTGCATCAACACTGGCATGGACAAGAACTGCTGCAAAATGCAACTCGCTTCCTAATACTGTTTTGTAAGTTCTCTCCAGAATGAGTCAAAAAAGAGTTTAGGACAAAACTCCGCTGAACACCTCTCCACAGCCAAGTGAGGGGCACTTTTAACACTAAGACTGGAACCAACCTCACCTCCCCACCTTCAAAATTCAGACTATTTGAGGCAGGACTAGGCAATGCACAGGCTTTTCTGGCAGCATAACCTCAGATGGAAAACCACTGAAATGGGCCAATTCTTTGCTATAACTCAAGATCTTACAAATAGATCTTTGTTCCTTTGCTTGCAAGTACTGCAAACTCAGCTAGTCCAACCAAATTTACAGCATAGCCTTTCCTTGGCTTGGTAGTTGGTGCCAAAATCCTGAATGGCAAGAACTCAAAACAGCACAGGTGATCTCTGGCTAGAGCCAAACTCTCAGGCACCAGGAATTACAGGGGAAAAGGACAGGTCATAACAGACTAAAAGCTTCTCTTAAGCTGGTATTGTGATGATTTGGCACTTATTAGTAGAACCAGCAGATGGTCACCATTAAGAGAGAAACAAAAATCAGATTACCTGAAAGTTTGTGACAAGATTACTCTACCATAAGGAAAAAACTTAAATTATTTCAAGCGGAGTAAACAGTAAGCAGTCAAAGCTTCACTGAGGGCACAAGCATAATCATGCCTCTTACTCACTATTTTTGAGAGCTAGATTTCAAATGAGTTTAAACAACATCAGCTTGAAAAAAAAAGAAAAAAAAAAAACTCTTTTACTCTTTAATGTAAAAGAGACAATGGGCACAAACAGGTATTCATTTCTAGGGGTGGAAATTTCTATTGCTAGAACTATTTCTAGGAGAGGGAGCAGCATGGGCATTCCAGCCTGCTCCAGACTAAAATTATGTCAGTTTGGGGAAGGTGCAAGGAGCAGTGGCTACTCCACTCTAGCCAGTCCCTGGGGGAGTTGAAGCACCAGGGAAACTCCCCATGCCTTCCTCAGACTGGGGACACCCCAACCTGGGGATGCACTGGGATGGAGACCAGGAGGACACAGAAGTGAGGCAATGCTCCCCAGACTAAGGGGACTCTGGTCTAGGGGATATAAGCAAGGAGAGGAAGGAGGCTGCTCCTTCCCACCCCTCCGGGTCTCAGAGAAGGAACAACAGGACAACGCTCCCCATGCCTTTTCTAAACCAGGGTGTCCCAGGTCTTGGGAAGATCTGAGGGGGCAGCAACAGTTCAACTCCTCCATAGCTGGGAAGAGTCCAGCTGAAGAGAAATGTTGCCCGCCCCCACCCTCCCTTGCCCAGACCAGAGTCCCCTAGTCTGTGTAAGGCACAGGAGAAGCCACTGCTTGACTCCTCCCAATCACAGAGGCTGCAAGCATACAGCTGTTCAATTCTAGTGAGAAGACAAAACAAAATGAAAGCTAACTACACCTCACAGGGATCAGCCTGGAAGATCTTTCTCCTGGAGGAAACATGCTTTTTCAGGGAGCAACTGCACAAATACCTGTATGCTGGTAATTTCTACCAAGGTAACAAGAGATTCTTCTAGCAGAAACACAACTGATGGGCAATGGTTATAATGGCAGTTTTCCTCATGACAGTAATGGTTAGTTGAGTGGACTCAAAGTATTTTTCTGAATATACAACTATTTCCAGTCAGAATGCAGAGTGCTTCCTCCCTATAGAACACACATGCATATGCAAACAGGCCTATATTTTCCAACTTAGACAGGGGGGAGGGGGGCACTTTGAAAGTTTAGGCTACAATCTAAAAGAAGTTTTTTCTTGGGCATACTGTAAACAATCTAACAAGATTAACTGCACAAGTGCTGATCCAGTTAAGAGACCACAAGCCTCGATTATAGGCAGGGAGAGCTATATTGGAAGATTTCTGCCATGCATCTAAATGGAGGTACTACTATATCATACTTTGTGTCTCTCTCTCACCCCCCCCCTTTATTTTATTTTTTTAAGTAAGTCAGCAGTGAGGCTAACACTGGACACAATATAGGAATCTCACTTCCAAAGAGGTCCATGTTTTCACCTACAACAAGTCATTGAAATCAAAGGAGTATTTTAAAAACAAAGCCCAACTTTTGCAGTGTTAAGAGATGCACTGAAGAAGCAATCTAAAACCAGAGATTGTGCTGCCACTATTGTCAGCTATGTCACTGTGTCAGCAGAGCTGGTCTCACCTGGACAGAACTCGTCATGGTGCTCAGAGCGAATACCGTTGCACAGTCTTTGATAGTGGATTGGCTATCAAAGGCACCTTGGGTATCCATGAGTAGTACAGCAACCTAAAGATTTTTGAAAAGTAGCAATAGTTAACTGATGTAGTATGTTTTTACCTCCTGGTTGTTGGTCAGACCCAGTCCCAATAATGATACACACTGCCCCTCTGGTGGCTCAGTAAAGCAAGCAGACAGTCTCAGCCCAACTCCCAGGGAAAAGGTGTCCAAAAACTCAGGAACCAGTCCTAAAAGGTCACATCCTCTGGTATTCTGCAGAGGCCAAGAATCGACTACAGCATTATCTTCTCCCCCCAAAACAGCTTCCCTTGGTCCAGGCTGAGGCACTCTAACAAGGCAGCACACCTGACTTCAGCCTGCAATTTCAGGGCTCCAGCGCTACCAATCCTGCACTACTGATTAGGACTACATATGAAAAGGAAAGGTTTATGGCATAAATTACCCCCCCCCCCAAAAAAAAACCAAAACAAAAACTGTACACATCTTTGGACAAAAGGGAAGGGTTTCATATAGGAAATCAGTCAAAAAGATGGGAGCAGAGCAAATCTCAACTGTTAGTCATCCATCTAAACCCCTCAATCTATGCAATAGGCTTGAGTATCTTGTCATCAGTAAGAGCAAATGAGTAGCATTTTACTGACAGATAGAGGTAAACTCCCCACCTTTTAACCATTTTGCAGCCACAGACTGATAGCTGGCTATGAAACCCTGTATAAGCCAAGTCACTGAATTTACTGTAGCATCAATTTGCAATTCAGGATGCAAGTTCTTTAAACACTCATTTAAAATGGTGCTATCTACGTAAAACTGAGCAACAAAAGTCAGCTCTTCCTTTTAGACTGTGTGACTAGAGCATAAAAGATGTCAGCCAGGAGTGCAAAGTGAGGGGAAATGCACAAAGAAGCTTGGAAGATTTAATACTTGTTTCATTGTCATCAGTAAACATGCAATTACTCCTGGCAAGAAGGGAACCCTTTGTTCTAATGTAAAGAGGTTAGACGTCCGATTTTTTTTTTTTTTATTTATAAGTCTTATACCCATAGTTGAACACCTACCAGCTCTGCTGTGTGTGCAATTCTTAAGCTATTCAGTACATCAGTAAAAAGGTTGCACAAAGCTGAATGGCCATGTCTTTTTTCCATTAGAAGTGGCCAATTTAGGAAGCAATCAGGTTGTACAAGAACCTATCAACTTCATATATATTTTAAGCTTGGCCTCTTGGCATTTATGGTCATATGTACAATTCACTGGAATGTGAACTACTACACCATGTTCAAACTTCTTTTAAAAAAAAAAAAATCTTGCCAGTATGTTCAGCTATGAAGTACATTGTGGTAGAATTTTTGGGACTAGAAACTGGAACTAGAATTTTTTTATTTTGTCTCATGACTGAACAGAAAAGGTATATCTATACAAATAAAAATGTAATTGCTGAATTCACAACAAGCATTACAACTAAATTCATAAGAGCTATAAAGCAGAAATCCCACTTAAGCCACATACATTTACCTTTGTCCCATTAGGCTTGTCAATTATAAACACTTCACTCCAGATCTGAATGCCTGTAGTTTCTCTTTCACAGCCACCTCTCCATGTAAACCCAGTCAGTGGCTCATTGCTTCCACCTATCCAACATGCAGAGTTCTGTGAAGCAAGAGGCACAAGCTAATTCAATACCAGAGAGATCTTCTAGAATGATACTTCAATAGACTTTCATATACTTTTCTAGTTTTCCTTTAGGGAAAAAGATGTCAAATGGTACAAAAAGCATAAAACATGAGGCTGTTGCAGCTGTATCAGAGGTTTGACAACTGCATGCACAAGCCTTTTGTCCCCCATGAGGCTCAGGCATTCTTCACTGCGGCCCTTTAGAAATCTGGCTAGTAAGGCTGCACATTTATACCTCTCAAAGTACCAAGTTGTTCATGCACATTGTGTGTGGGAAGAGGGGGAGGAAGAACAGGAGACTAACTGTGTTATATAAAATTAATTTTCTAGAAAAGATAGATCAGGGGTCAGCAACATTTTTGGCTGGAGTGCCAAAAACACCCCAGCCCTGACCTACACCTCAACTTAGTGCACCAGGGGTAGACCATGGGTGAGCTGCAAGAGACCCAATCCCCATAGTTGGCAACAGCTACATGTGGTCCTCCAGGCAGACAGTGGGGGAGGGGCTGGGGTTATGTAGCCCCAACCCCTTTTCTGCCATGTACCCCAAGGCGCATGTGAAGTCACCACCTGCACGAAGCCGGTACTAGTGCTCTGGAGCCTGGTGCAGCTGTTTGCAGCCTGCCCACCACCTGCTGCAGCTGCCCAGAGCCCAGGCTGGCTATGGTGTGCTGAGCAAAATGCCCTCACATGACCCTGACATAGATGGTAAAACTCAGTTAAAGTAGTAAATCATAAAGATACAAGTGCACCACACAAACTTAGCCAAGACATTGGTTTAAGGATTAAAAGATAGTTCATTGGCATAAGAACAGCAGCACACATTTTTGACTGCTCAAACAAAACAAAACAAACATGCTTCTACAAACACTGGTGTAATGAGGGCAAACAGGATACCAATCTAAAAACTCAAAAGAGAAGTAGTATTCATTCCATTTAAGCTAAACTAATGTTAAGAACAATAAAACTGAGGACTCTCAGAACAAGTCTGTCAACATCCTCCTGGCTACAACCACAACCTGGAAGGTCCATGAGACAGAAATTGCCATTCCAAGTAACAGAAGTAGCTTGAATCAAGCAAGCTGGATAAAAAAAGGCACTCAACTGCTTGGTTGCAGTATTCTCCATTTCCAACACTGCATCGGGTTCCAAAGCACTGTAACCAAGAAATCCTGCACCAGTAGTGTACAGATAGCCTTGCAGTACAACTCTGCTCAACATCCAGAGTACTCTTGTTGAGGCTAGAATAAAGAGTTATTTCTCTGGACTTCAGCCAGGTGACAAGATCTCTGATGTGGCAACTGTAAACAGTTCAAATCATCCACCAGCTTCTCAAAGTAGGAGACTGACACGCGGGGGGGAGAGAAGCAGCTGCAATGCACAGGACTCCTGTTAATAATACTAAATGCATGCAGCCCTTTGCCTCCTGCACTGGGACTTTGGTTTTCAGGCAATACTGAACTGACGACTGTCACCAGTATGTCTTTTCTTCTGCAACTGAATATAAAATTTGAAGATAATACAAGTGCAGACCAGTTTTGCTCAGGATTGGACTCTGACATGGTAGATTAGACAAAATGGTATGCACAAAGCCTGTAAAATGACTTGTGGCAAGGCTATGGCGCATCCTTAGTATTCACCATGCCGAATTAAATTGTTACTCCATCTAACAGATCTGCATCCAGCAACTGATTCTGAAGAGGAAATAAGTGCCCTGGTGCATTTAACCAAACTAAGGAAGGCGGCATTCATAACTGGATCTTACCAAAGTTGTTTTACTTGTAGTGCCAAGGTTAGTCATTTGCTATGAAATGCTGTCCCCTAAGAAGTCACAGCCAAAAACCCATTAACCTTACCCTTAATCTACATATATAATCACACCCACATGCCACCAAGACCCCCTAAGCTTGGCAAGGAATTGTTATTACAGTAGTTTCATTTATACATGAGTGATAAGAGCCCTAGCTGACTACTGACCAGTAAGCACAGATGTAAAGTTCTTGAACACAGGGGCAGTCTACATGTCAATCCTTAAAAGCAAATTTGTTTACTGGTAACAATCTTCGGGAAGACTAAAAAATCCACACAAAAATATATCCAGTTGCTCTTAAACCACCATTTTAAAAACTATACTACATTATTCCCTTTACTGACCTCCATTTATAAAGCCTTTTGTTGTTGTTGTTGTTGTTGTTGTTATGGCTACATAGTAAGTTTCTGTAATGTTGTATACCCTACATCATATTACTTGTGTATGTCATCATGCTTATTTCAAGTCCAAAACATTGCTCCAATTCACATTCATAAAGATATGCCCAAGGTTCAACCATTGTTCCCATTATTTTGTGGTGGAAGGAGGCCCTAGCATGATCCGACTCTAGTAGGCAGAGAGACTCAGGGCACATCTATGTAGAGCAAGTCAGCAACATGTAAAAGTTAGTACAGTTTCTCTGCACAGCACTAGTTTAAAGTGTGGTACTCATTTTGGCAGAAGGATACTTTGAGAGACTGCTAATATATGTAGTACTGACCAAATTACTGAGCAGCTAAATTTGCATTTTTATTTGATCCAGAAAAAAAAGCAAAGCAAAATCTGAAAAGAGTTGCACAACTTGCAGGCCCATACTTACCCTACTGCAATCTTGGTTCATTTCTTGCAATCATTTGCAGAGCATAACATCGCTAGCTGGACCAGTGGGGCAACATTATTTGCCTTCCCAAATGAAAAAGTACTTGTAGCCCATGCTATGGGGCATTTCTCCTGTTTTTGTATAAGAGCTAGGGATTGCATCTTATCCTCTTTGGGCCAAAAGTGTCATGGATGAGGCTTCTGTCAGAGAGCTAGTGCAAGTTTTCTGATCACAAGCCCTGGTTCTCATGGGGCACTTCAACCACTCTGACATCTTCTGGGAGGGCAATACTTCAGTATACAGGCAGCCCAGGAAGCTTTTGGAGGATGTCAGGGACAACTTCCCCATGCAAGTGCTGGAGCAGCCAACTGAAGTTGTGCTCTTTTTGACCTGTTGCTCACAAACAGGGAAGAATTGGTGGGGAATGTAGTAGATGGCAACTTGGGCAGCAGCGATCTCAAAATGAATGAGTTCAGGATCCGTAGGAAAAAGGAAAAGTGGAGAGCAATAAAGTAAGGACACCAGACTTCAGAAAAGCAGACTTTGACATGCTCAGGGAACTCATGGGCAGGATCCCCTGGGAGGTCAGTCTGAGGGGAAGAGGAGTCCAGGAGAGCTAGCTGTACTTTAAAGACGACTGAGTGCAGGAACAAACCACCCCAATGTGTAGGAAGACTACCAAGTATGGCAGAATATTAGCTTATCAGAGAACTCTTCAGTGAGTTACAACACAAAAAGGAAACTTATAAGAAGTCGAAACCTACACAAACAACTAGGGAGGAATGAGCATTGCTCAGGCATGCAGGGATGAAGTCAGAAAGGCCAAAGTGCAATTGAAGTTGCAGCTAGCAAGGGATGTGAAAGGTAATAAGGGTTTCTACAAGTATGTCAGCAACAAGAGGAGGATCAGGGAAAATGTGAGTCCTTTACTAAATGGGGGAGGCAACCTAGTGACAAAGGATGCAGAAAAGGCTGAAGTACTCACAATGCCTTTTTCACCTTAGTCTTCACAAGCAAGGTCAGCTCCAAGACTACTGCACTAGGCAGCAGTTTGGGGAAGAGGTGAGCAGCCAGTGGCAAAAGATCAGGTTACGGACTATTTAGAGAAGTTGGACCTATAAAAGTCCGTAGGGCGAGATGGGATGCTCCTGAGGGTGCAGAGGGAGTTGACTGATGATACTGAAGAACCACTGGCCATCATCTTTGAAAACTCATGGCAATTAGGCAAGGTCCTGGATGACTGGAAAAAGGGCAAACAGTAGCCATCTTTAAAGGTAAGGAGGATCCAGGGAATGATAAACCAGCCAGCCTCACCTCAGTCACTGGAAGGGTCACGGAACAGGTCCTCAAGGAATCTATTTCTAAGCACTTGGTGGAGAAGGTGGTTAGGAACAGTTAGCATGGAATTACTAAGGGCAAGTCATGCCTGACCAACCCAATTACCTTGTGACAGGATGACTGGGGGATGTGGGGAGAGCAGTAGATGTAATATACCTTGGCTTTAGCAAGGCTTTTGATACCATCTCCCACAACATTATTGTAAATAAGCTAAGGAAGTACAGGTTGCATGAATGGACTGTAAGGTGGATAGAAAAACTGGCTGGAGCATCGGGCTCAGAGGATAGTAGTCAATGGCTCAATGTCTAGTTGGCAGCTGGTATCAAGTGGAATGCCCCAGAGGTCAATCCTGGGGCCAGTTTTGTTCCAGGTCTTCATCAACAGCCTGGAAGATGGGATGGAGTGCACCCTCACCAAGTTTGCAGATGACACCAAGCTGGGGGGAGAAGTAGATATGCAGGAGGGTAGGTTTAGAAAGACCTCAGATTGCAAGATTGGACCAAAAGAAATCTCATGGAGTTCAATACGGACAAGTGCAGTCCTGCACTTAGGATGGAACAATCCCATGCTGGGGAACCAACTGGCTAAGCAAAAGCTATGCAGAAAAGGACCTGGAGGTTACAGTAGACGGCAAGCCAAATGAGCCACCCACATGCCCTTGCTGCTTAGAAGGCTAGTAGCATGCTGAGCTGCATTGCCAGCAGATCAAGGGAAATAATTATTCCCCTCTACTCAGCATTGGTGAGGCCACGTCTGGAGTACTGTGTTCAGTTTTGCACCCCCTGCTACAGAAAAGATATGGACAAATTAGAGTCCAGTGAAGGGCAGTGAAAGTAGTTAGGGGGCTGGGGAATATGACTGAGGAAACTGGGTTTATTTAATCTAGAAAAAGAGAAGACAGAGGAGATTTAGTAATAACAGTCTTCAGCTGTTATTGTAGCTGTACTGTTCTCAGTGATGGCAGATGACAGAACAAGGAGCAATGGTCTCAAGTTGCAGCAAACCACGTTTAGGAAGAATTCTCTCAGGAGGGTAGTAAAGCACTGGAACAGGTTACCCAGAGAGGCTGTGGAATCTCTATCCCTGGAGCTTTTTAAGACCTGACTAAACAAAGCCTTGGCTAGGATGATCTAGTTGGGGATGGCCCTGTTTTGAGCAGGTGGTTGGACTAGATGACCTCCCAAGGCCCCTTCCAACCCTAATTTTTTTTTTTTTAAAATCCTACAATCATAGAAAACTGAAATTAAACAAAATACTGATCAATTTTACTCCTGTAATTCCTAACTCTGGGGAACAACGGAATGATAAAGAATTAAATAACTTTACAAGGAACAACAGGAGACAGCACCCATACTACAGTGAGCAAAATAAAAAGCCAATCCAAATATTTGTTTGCACAGTCCCCACATCACCATCCTCACAGCCCAAAGTTTCATAGGGTGGGCTGAAACGTAATTCTGTCCTCTTCCTAGCACCTACAAAAAGGCACAATTTACACCATACATCATATCTTGTTAGTCAATGGCTTTAAGTCCAGAAGAGGAGTGGGTCCAGAAACAACTTCATTGTTCACCGTTCTTCAGTAAGCCTATTTTAGAAGAGTACACCTGTCTGTGTCCAGCGGGCTTGTTTTTGGTTTTAATTTGGGTTGTTTGTTTGTTTGGGGGGGGGGGAGGGGGGGAAGAAGAGAAAGAGGGGGCTATCACGGATAAAGAAATGCTACATATCGGTCTTAAAAGCATGAGACCCATCAGACAATAAAAATGTGAAGATACTATCATACCACTGTTTGCTTGGTCAAAACCTTGAACGTCAATTTGCTCACTCTTCTCAAACTTCTACAGCACGGCCATCATGTGCAATGCAATGTTAGAACCACTCTGTCACTTCTCTTCCCCATGCCAATACTGGGTTAGATTATGATAAATTACCTGAATGTCCTTTGGAATGGAAGATCAATATTGCAAGGGCAATTAGGTCAATATTCCTGGAGTATGAAGATGGAGAGGTGTGTGCATGCTATATTACACACTGCACCCCACGCCACCCCTCTTACTTTCGAGGGGATAAGTTACACAAATTTTCCTTTTGGAGGAAAGATCCTCAGCTACTCACCCTGTTGTACATGTATCTAAGCATGAAGTCCAGTAAGAAGGATTTCCCTTTGCGGAAAGCTCCTGCTACAGATACAACTACTATATTAAGATCTTTTATGTGTTCCTGAAGCAAAATGTTTTCCAGTGCCTCTTCATCTAGTTCAAAGTTGTGATCATCTTCATGAGCAAGAACAATCTGTATTGGTCGTGGCTTCTTCAAATCCACTTCATCATCTGAATCAACCACGGCATCAGAGTCAACTAGGTCATCGTCCTCCTCAAAATGCTTACCTGGAAATTAACATTACAAAACAAAAGTGAGTCCACTGATGAGTAATATGAAACTGCATTGGCAGAACTGAAGACTGTTTACATCAGGGGTAGGCAACCCCAGCCATGGGTGCCAGAGTGGCCTGCAAAGGCATTTTCCTTGGTACGTGCACCTCAGAGTACATGGCAAGGAAGGGGCTGGGGCTGCACTGCCACAGCAAGGATTGGGCTCCTCATGGCTCCCCTGCCATCCCAACATCTTACAAGTTAAGGTTGAGAGTGTTTTCGGCAGTCTGCCCAAAAATGTTGCCCTGGTTTACATACTTTTTCCATAACAAGCTTTAGTGAAGTACCTACCAAGAAACTATCATATCACTATAAATGAGTCTGCAGGTACTTTAGGTCATTATGGGCCACTTATAAAAATAAAAGTTTTGTACCATATGGATATCACCCCTGGTAACACAAGTCTTCTACACTTTTCTGTGTCCTATTCCATAAGCACTGACCATAACATTACAGAGCATAACCCCATCTCACCTGAGCATTCTTAAAGAAATACATGTACCCAGATTTTTCCAGCATTAAATATTAGTGTCCTTAAGAAATACAGCTTCTATCGATGGCCTTTCCTCTCCCCTCATTAACTTTTTTTTCTTAAAATTAACTTTGAAATTAACTAGTGTGACAAAGACAAACCTGCCATTTTTAAAACAATATTTTTTTCTATATTTATGGATAGATGGGACACTCCGACTTTGACAGATTTGTTTGCTAAAAGTAGAGACTTGAATGTTATCTAGTATGGTTTCCAGGGCTGCACTGCAATGAAACCTTGTGTTTCATTTTATATATTTTTCTTTCCAATCCCCACACAATATTCATTTTCATCCTCAAGTGCATTGGAAAATTTGGCAAACAAGCAGTGTATTTAAAGTGCAAAGAAACTACCTTGTTAATACTTAGCTAAGTATTGGACCTCTCACAGAACAGGACTTGGATTGCTACAGATGTTTATAGTATATCGTAAAGCTATCAGATATGTAGGCAAAAGCCAAGCAGGAATCAAAATGATGAAGTGATTTCAAAGCCACTGTGGGATAGGGGAGATGGAAAAAATGTAAGCACCTTGAGTGAAGGATTAATATATACAGTTTATGAAAGGAAGGAGGTCTTTGGAAATAAAAAATACCCAATAGCTTAAAAACATGGTTTTCTAATGTGCATGTTGTCTGGCCTACAAGATAAAAAGGAATATATACACATACATACATTCTGAAACAAAAAAATTCTACAAATATTACTAACAGCAGCCAAATCTAGCACATAAAAAAAAAAAAAAAAAAAACCAACTTAAGACTCAACATTCCATTCTACAACAAGGGGTAGGGGAAAAAAGCCACATCCCATGTCAGTCTCAAGCTATCATTTCCAATTCAAATTCTTCAGCAAGTAAAGAATGTCAGACCAAACAATCTTGTATGCAAAGGCACCCCAAGCATGGAACACATGCAATTAATGCAGATGCATAAACTGTGGAGTAAACTGCTCCGCAGTAGGACAATCCCGGGCTCAGCCCAAGTCAGAAGCAAACTGAGCAAGGGAGAAGCAAATTAGGCCAGGACTGCTCCTGTCCTGCCCTGCCCCCCTAAAGCAACTACAGGAAACTCCAGGATCCAGCAGCAGCTGCCCAGATGCCAGCCCTGCATGTTGGTCCCCAGCCACATGCTTTTGTGGCCCTGAGTAGTCTGCAGCCTGCTGACACAGGCCTCAAGGATGCTGTCCCAGGAGCCTGTCCCCAGCATGTAATGGACACTCCTCACCATTCCCTTGCAGGCACAATGCCATGGCTGCCGAGGTGCTCACTGACAGCCTCCTCCTCCACCCCCTGCAGTAAGGCACCTGGGCAGCCACCCACAAACCCCTGATACACAGTGCAACCAAAAGAACACACACACACACACTACAGTTTGTAGAAAATCAACCTTTATTTCCCTCCACAACACAAGACAGCTCCCCTCCCCCACAACCCCAATGTGCACCAATGGAGCACCCTTAACCCTATGAAACCATTTACTGCCTATTGACAGGGTTGGGGGAGAAAACAGTGGTGGAGAGATGCCTATGGCATACGGTCTTGAGGGAAGCTCCCAGCACCCCAAACTCTTCTAAAACCACCTTGGGTCTGGATGCTCCCACAGCAACGCTGGTGGGCCAGAGGTTGACACAGGGGCAAAGGTGGGTGATGTCCAGCCTGCTCAGCTCACTCCCCTTCCTCCTCCACAGGGCCCGGGCCAACATGGGGAGCCAGTCCCCGATTGGGAAGTGCCTGTGGTGGGGCCACATGGAGGTGGGATAAACAGCAGATGAAGCGAGAGGCCTGGGCACCAGGGCGGCCAGGATCGGGAACAAGGGCTAGGGACCCTGCCCAGTGCAGATGGTGCTGCACCTCCTGCTACACCCACTGGCGAGCCCAAAGCAAGCCTACAAAACTAAGGAAGTGATACTCCCACTGTACTCTGCACTGGTGAGACTGCAGCTGGAGTACTGCATCCAGTTCTGGGTACCACACTTCAATAAGGATGTGGAAGAAACTTGAGGGTCCAGAGAAGAGCCACCCATATGATCAGGAAATTGCAAGACAAGCTGTATAAGGAGAGGCTGAGGGAGTTGGGCTTCAGCCTACACAAGAAGGCTGAGAGGGGACTTGGTAGCAGCTTACTGCTACATCAGGGGAGTACATCAAGAACTCTGTGAACAGCTGTTCACTAGGACACCCCTGGGGAGGACCAGGAGCAAAGGATACAAACTCCTGGGAGGTTGCTTCAGGCTCAATTCCAGTAAAAACTCCTTCACGGTCAGGGGGTCCACACTGGAATAAATTGCCTCCAGTGGTAGTGCAGCCACCTACCCTGGAAATCTACACAATTACCTTGCTGGGGTCACTTGACCCCGGTCATCTTTTCCTGCCTAGCGCAGGGAAACTGGACCCAGTGATCTACAAGGCCCCTTCCAGCCCCTAATAGCCACCTGTAGATTCATAGATTATCAGGGACCAGGACACCAGAAGTGGAAACAGACACCTCCAGAGCCAGCACCACCTCAATGACAGGCTGATGCTAGTTCTGTGCTGGCAGCCATTGCTCAGCACACTTCCACCCATGAATGCTTCGTGCCTCCCAAGACAGGGGGCAAAGGGGCACTGCAACTGCCCGCAGGCAGTGGTGGGGGCATGACAGCAGTGAGCGGGTAACTCCCACAGGCAGCTACGCTGAAGTTGGCAATGGGGCGGGCCAAGTAGAGACTGCCCGCAGGCATCAACACCGGTGTGGGTAGCAGGGAGGTGGGGGCCACCTGCTGTCCACTACCACTGGTATCTGCGACAAAAATCAGTGACCACCCGCAGACACTGCCAGTGCTGTCAGCAGGGAGGGGGTGGCGAGTGGTAACTGCCCACAGGCACCACCAGTGGCCAATCTTAGGGGGTGCACGTGCACCCATGTGCACCCCCTACGCGTCGCCAACTGCTTCCATGTACTGCTCCTCCATTAGCCCCTGCAGGAGGGTGTGGTGCACCACGTGATCCTTGTGGTCCACTGCATGGGCCTCACACTCCATCAACTCCAAGGCCTCCCAGATCCTGTGGTACCTGCAGCATCAGGCTCAACTCAACTCTGAGCCAACTCCTTGGAGAGGATGACCAGCCACTTGAGGAGAGCCATTTGGATCTTGACTCCAGTGCCGATACAGCTGGTGCAAGCCAAGCACACCTGCAGAGGCTGGAGGCATCCTTGCGGGCCCATTGCCCCTACCTCCAGGTGGTTCGCCCCTGAATCCAGCAGCTGGTTCTGTAGAACAAGGAGAGACTCATTGTGAGTGCAACATTTCAGAGATAACAGGCACTATATAGAGGGGCTGTGCACTGGTCACCCTCAATTCAGGGACTGTGCATGCACAGGCAGCCAAGGACTATGGCAAGTTGCCTGGGTGGTCCTTTTAATGGGCAGCTGCCAGGCAAGCCTTCCTTGCCTGCTTCCACAGTAGGGGCAGACAGGCTGTTTGTCCCAGGCAGCCTGCCTTCCTCGTACCCTACCCAGGCCAGGCCATACCTGACCCCTACCAGCAGCTGCCGCAGCAACTCTGGAGCAGCTCTGACCCCCACCCCAAAAGGCTTGGCACTTCACTCCCATGCCACCAGGCCTGTGGAGTCCACTGGGGTTCTGGCAGTCAAGGGCAGGTGCAGCAACTCAGGAGAGAGCCAGCTGGGCACTCAACGAAGTGCTGAACTGCCTTGAGACTCCCTGAAAATTGGGGAGGGGAAGCAAAGAACTCTGGTAGAGGGGAGGGCCCCTCACACCCTGTGCAGGGCCCCTGGTTCCAGATATGCAGCCCTGGGCATAGGTGGCCACAGTGCCGCCTCTCCCCCCAAGCCCTCCTCCCTGTGCAGGGGCTTACCGGGCAGATGGGGCAGCTGTTCCCAGCAGTTGGATGCTGTTCCTGCCTGTAGAGATTACGTCCAGCTGGGCAATGCAAGCCAAGGTGGCGAGAGAGGCTGAGGGCATCAAGTGTGCTGGGACCTGGCACAGGAGCCCCAAGGTGTCCTCCCCTGGAGTCTGCCTGGCCTGCAGCCCCTGCCACTGGCTCCTACATCCCACCTGTGCTGCTGAAGACATGCAGGGTCTTGCCAGAGTCCGCAAGGACCAGGATCCTCTCAAGCTCTCAGCAGAAGGTCATGGTTCTGGGCACAACCCTGGACTGTCTATTGTGGTCAAAGATCCGGACCCACTGTGCCCTCATGGCCTTCACCCAGCACTTGTGGCTGGTACACTGGTATCTGCATTCCTATATCTGCTAGGCCATTCAGAGGCAGGTATTGACCCATGTGGCATAGGAGAACTGCCACTGGGACTTCAATGTCCCCCCAGCTGGCATGAGGTTGGCCATCTCGTGGGTCCAGGTGGGCCCCTATCCCTAGGTGTCAGTGGGCGCAGGGCCCAACATGGCACCTGCTTGGAGCAGGC